ACAAAGCTAGACAGACTTGGGTTAGGATCCCAGATCCATTATTTACTAGTTATGTACTTTGAGCAAGACATTCAATCTATCGATGCCTTGGTTTCCTCATTTGTAAACTGTGGATAATAATTTTTATGAGTAGAATAATAAGATAATTTATGCCCAAACTGGAAAACTTTAATGTGCTGGAAAGGGGATAATATTAATAATCATGCTTGAACAAGTGGCATAAGCCCAGAACTATGGTACAGATACTGATGAGAGGATTAAATGAAAAAATAAAGCACTTAGCACAGGGCCTGATACATAGCAAGTGCTCAGGTAAATGTAGCCACTACTTTTTTATTACTGAACTGGAAAGTTCCATTGTTTCAGCTTTTCTTTCTAACAATAATATGCTGATAATCTTCCTTATGATCAAGAGTAGTGGATTGACATAAGAAGAGCTTAATTTTTTTCAAGGTGGAGAAAAACCTAATTGAAAGTCAAACAACCAACCTCTCCAGAAGAGGAACAGGGTTGAAAGATACTGCAGAAATCATTAGAAGCATGAATGAAGCAGAAAAACAGAATTTTAATGATTTTGTGTACTTCAGGGTTTTGGTCCTAAGATTCTTCTATACTCTTAAAAAATTTTGAGGACCACAGAGTTTCTGTTTATGTTACTTATATCTATTGATATTATAAGTAAAAGTGTAGACAATAAAAAATATTCATTTAAAATAACAATAACCCTATCATATATTAACACAACGAATATTTAATTATCTTTACAAACACAACAAAAAAGAGGATTAGTGTGTCTTCAAACCTCTTTATTGATTGGTTTGCTAGAACTGAAACTAAGTCTCATTTCTGCCCTTTTATGCAACTTATTGCAGAATGTTATTTTGGTCAAAATATATGAATAAGATAGGTCCTTGGCAAAGAGAGGAAATATTTTAATAGCCTTTCTGGATATCTGTGGTTATTCTTTGATACTACACCAAAACTCCATAGTAGTTTTAAAATTATTATTATTTTAAAGATTTTATTTATTTATTCATGAGAGACACAGAGAGAGAGGCAGAGATATAGGCAGAGGGAGAAGCAGGTGCCCTGTGGGGAACCCAATGTGGGACTCCATCCCAGGACCCCGAAATCATGCCCTGAGCCAAAGGCCGATGTTCAACCACTGAGCCACCCAGGTGCTCCTCTATAGTAGTTTTGTGAAGGTTAGTTTAAAGCAGAATCTGAAATCATATCAATGAACTTTTTGTACTGTTATATCAAAGCCCATTGGTCAGTCGTGCATTTTGAATGAATATTTTACTCATGATTTTGGAATATCATTCATTAGTCATTTGGAGAAGATTAGTTCATTGAGTTATGCAGATATTTCAAATGTTTACACATTTCGGAAACCCAATACCTTAGAACATTCTAGAAAATATATGAACACACAAGCATACATTCCATTAGCCATCAGAATGATGATGTCATGTGGCCTCTGGAAAACACTACTGTACATTCATGAAACAACGAGAGTGATAAAGACCAATCGTGTCTTTTTTTTTTTTTTAAAGATTTTTATTTATTTAGTTGAGAGAGAAAGCCAGAGACAGAGAATGAGCAGAAGGGGACAGGCAGAGGTAGATGGAGAAGCAGGCTCCCTGCTGAGCAAGGAGCCAGATGCAGGGCTCAATCCCAGGACCCTCGGATCACAACCTGAGCCAAAGAGAGATATTTAACTGAGTGAGCCACCCAGGTGTCCCCAAATCATGTCTTATTATGAAGACTGTTTTGACTACATGAGTCACTGAATAGGTTTTAGTCTCAAACCACACCTGAAGAACAGCTATATGGTAGGACTGTTAGATAAGTAAAGAAAACAAAAAACTTACCATTTGCTTTTTTAATCTTTTAAAATCAGGAGGCAATAAATTATAACACACAGTGAGCAAGATACTAAAATATAGTCCCAAGTGTCAATTTCAAATCTCTTTATATGATGACAAGAAGACAAGCTCCTAAAAACAGCTTCTAATTCAAAGATATTTCTCTTTTTTTTCTTTTTTTGGTCTGAACTCTAGTATTTCAATGTATGCAGGCAGGTATCTTTGAGGAGCTCACAATGCTTTATTTCTTCCTCTTCTTTCCATTCTTCCCAAGGTAGAATCTTTGCAGAAAGCTGTGGGCAGCAAAACTCTACTAAAAATATTCTAGGACATCTTTTCTTTTTTGCGACCTGGCCTGGAAGCTGCCCATTTATTATGGGTCTTGTTTTGTATTGTATTTTGGAATTTTTTTTTTGTTTTTTTTTTTTTTACAAATACAGAAGAGGACATTCTCAAATGATATTGGTGGTAGATTTGAGAAACTTCCTAAATGAACCTCTTATTTTGCTCTCCTGTTAATCCAGGCTTTTCAAGGTACCTTGATAGTAGAGGATAATCCTATTTTTTGGAAAAAGCCACTTTCACTCAGGGACATGTGGGTGGCTCAGTGGTTGAGCGTCTGCCTTCGGCTCAGGTCATGATTTTGGAGTCCCGGGATCGAGTCCCACGTCGGGCTCCCTGCATGGAGCCTGCTTCTCCCTCTGCCTGTGTCTCTGTGTCTCTGATGAATAAATAAAATCTTTAAAAAAAGAAAAGAAAAAGCCCTTCACTCAGTAGTACCAGGGAGAAATCCGTTGTAGGCACCCTGCCCCTTACTTTTCCATTCAGGTTCCCAATGCCCTGACCACTGCCCGCTGCTGGCTGCACAGTAGGCCCCACTGTGTGGCCCACCCAGGTCCACCTTCCTGGGCAATGCTTTGCCTCCTCCTTTACCCTTCAGCAAAAACACATACCCTTTGTAGTCATTCTTTCACGAAGTCTGATTTTTTAGCTTAGATTAGTCCAGTCTGAAATACACGGGGGGGGGGGGGGGGGGCGGGGAATGTCAAGCCAATGAAAGATATTTACACTGGGACACGAATGATGGATGGGGAACTAAGTGTTTAGGAACCAAGAACCAAACTGATGATCTGAAAAAATAAACTTGCAGAAGGCTTGCTCTATGTGGCCACCGAAAGGATTGCTTAGCTTTTCTAAGCACATTAAAAGCCACCTGGCTGGCTCAGATGGCAAAGGTTTAGACTCTCCACCTGGGGGGGGGGGGAGGGGGGGAGGGGAGGGGAGTTCAGTTTGAGCCCCGCATTGGGTGAAGAGATTAAAAATCTTTTTTTTTTTTTTTAAAAGCAATATATCAAAAGCCAAAAAACCAATAACGAATTGATCCAAGTTCCCTAGGAGCCCAGTCAGGCAAGAAGTGAGGCGTGAGGTCCCTGCGCGGCTACGCTTGGGGCTTCCACAGGTTAACGCACCAAGGGGCAAAAGGGTGAGGTGCCCAGGGGGCAGCCCTCATTCGAGCAAAGGTCTGCGCTTCCAGCTGCCAGTAATAATTCCGCGATTTCCAACGGCCCCCTTTGACGTTTCATTTATTCCTCGAATTAACTGAAGACTCTTTTTTTTTTTTTTTTTGAAGCAAATTTCAGAGTCAACGAAAGCTGGAGACTGTGGACTCCCAAGCGTGTTTTTAGGTTACGGCAGGGCCTCGAACTCGGGTGTAGGAGAGACAGGCCAGCCAACGCCACCTCGGCCTTCCAGGGCAGGCGGCCGTCTGTGCGCTCGCAGCTCTCCCACGCCCGGGGTCCGGCTGAGGGGGGCCCGACGCGCCGACCCCTCGGCCCAGAAGGCCCCGAACGGTGCATTAACGGTTCCCCAGATTCCTGCTGTGGCCGTGACCTTTCAACAGGCGGGCGGCGCAACTGCGCGTCGGACGCAACAGGCACGACCGGCGTGCCACCGGGGCGAGACGCTCGGGCGACAGCAGTGGGCGGCGCACGCAGCCTCTCCTTTCTTTAACCCTTCTCCTCGCTTAGTCCCACCCTCACCGGAAGTGGAGCCGCCTTACGTCACGCCACTTCCGGCCCGCACGCCCGTCGCCGGCGGGAGCGAGCACGCTGGCGCGCGGCAACCTTGTTCCCGCCTCCTGAGCCCCAGCGCCACTCACCTTCGGCGGTCGCGGAGCGTGACGTGCGTGCGCGCCCCCGGCCGTGCGTCGGGGCCGAGGGGAAAGGCCGAGAGAGCGAGGCGAGAAGGAGGGGTTGTGGAGGTTAGGGCCCAACCAGCGAGTGCCGTCGCCCTCCCTCCTCCTGACGAGGCTCGGAGAGGGAAGGGGAGGAGCGAGCCGGGCCGGCCGCGCACACCAGGAGCCTCCTCGTGGAGGGGGGGGAGCGGAGGAAAGGGGAGCTCCGCCACCTCTGCTGGCGGCGGCGGCGGCGGCGGCGGCGGCGAAGGAAGAAGAAAGTCAGGGCCCGTGCCCGCCGCCACAGGCGCAGAAACCGCCCCCCGCCCGCACCTCCCCGGAAACAGCCCCCCGCCCAGCCCCGCACACTCGTGCCCCAGCCGGAGCCGCAGCCGGGTCGCCCCCGCCTCGCCCCGCCCCGCCCCGCCCCGCCGCCCGTCCCCGCGGCGGCCGAGCGCGCGAGGCCCGAGGCCCGAGGCCCGAGGCCCGAGGCCGGGAGTTGCTGTCAGGCCCAGGCCACTTCCGAGGCGCCCGCCGGGTGTCGCCGCCACCACCGGAGGACGACGTCGACGCGGAGGAGGCGGCGGCGGCGGCGGAGGCGGAGGCGGAGGCGTGTTGTTGTCTCGCCCACTCCCCTCCCCTGAACTCGCGCCCCACGTCAGGGCGCGATGGAGTGAAGCGGCGACGAAGGTGGTACTTCCGCGTTGCGCTGCCCGAGCCGAGAGCGCGGCCGAGGCCGCTCCCCCGCCCGCGGGGGCACTTGGAGGACTCCGGACTCCCCCGCAGGTCAGCGCCCGGCGCATCTGGTGTTCGTGCGGCGGAGGCCGGGACGGCGAGCAGGACCGCGAGCAGGACCGCGAGCTGGGCCGCCGGGGCTCCCGCTCCCCTCGGGCCGGAGGCCGCCGCACTCCCGACCGAGTCCCGACCCGGATTATCGTGGCGCGCCTCGCGGCCCGCCCTGGTGCTCGGGGTCCCTCCGCCGCAGTTCCCGTTTCCGGCGGCGGCGATGGCCAGGATCTGACCCGGAGGAGGCCGCACCCGCGCCGCGCTCTGCGGCGGGCCCTAGGCGATGCCGAGCAGCTCGGACACGGCGCTGGGGGGAGGCGGGGGCCTGAGCTGGGCGGAGAAGAAGTTGGAGGAACGCCGCAAGCGGAGGCGATTCCTGTCCCCTCAGCAGCCGCCGCTGCTGTTGCCGCTCCTGCAGCCGCAGCTCCTGCAACCGCCGCCGCCCCCGCCGCCTCTGCTCTTCCTGGCTGCTCCCGGCACGGCCGCCGCCGCAGCCGCCGCCGCCGCGGCCTCCTCCTCTTGCTTCAGCCCGGGCCCCCCTCTGGAGGTCAAGCGGCTGGCGAGAGGCAAGAGGCGCGCAGGAGGGCGGCAGAAGCGGCGCCGCGGGCCCCGCGCCGGGCAGGAGGCGGAGAAGCGTCGGGTCTTCTCGCTGCCCCAGCCGCAGCAGGACGGCGGTGGCGGTGCTAGTAGCGGCGGGGGTGTGACCCCGCTGGTGGAGTACGAGGATGTGAGCTCCCAGTCCGAGCAGGGGCTGCTGCTGGGGGGGGCCAGCGCGGCAACGGCGGCGACGGCTGCCGGGGGAACGGGGGGCAGCGGCGGGAGTCCGGCCTCCTCCTCCGGCACCCAGCGGCGCGGGGAGGGCTCGGAGCGCAGGCCCCGCCGGGACCGCCGCAGCAGCAGCGGCCGCAGCAAGGAGCGCCACCGCGAGCACCGGCGGCGGGACGGGCAGCGCGGCGGCGGCGGCGGCGGCGGCGGCGGCGGCGGCGGCGGCGAGGCCTCCAAGTCCCGCAGCCGCCACAGCCACAGCGGCGAGGAGCGGGCCGAGGCCGCCAAGAGCGGCAGCAGCAGCAGCAGCGGCGGCCGCCGGAAAAGCGCCTCGGCCACGTCGAGCAGCAGCAGCAGCCGCAAGGACCGAGACCCGAAGGCGCACCGGAGCCGGACTAAGTCGTCCAAGGAGCCGCCGTCGGCCTACAAGGAGCCGCCCAAGGCCTACCGGGAGGACAAGAGCGAGCCCAAGGCCTACAGGCGGCGGCAGCGGTCCCTGAGCCCGCTGGGAGGTCGGGACGACAGCCCGGTGTCCCACAGGGCGTCGCAGAGCCTGAGGAGCCGCAAGTCCCCCAGCCCGGCAGGAGGTGGCAGCAGCCCGTACTCCCGGCGGCTGGCGCGCTCCCCGAGCCCCTACAGCCGCCGCCGCTCCCCCAGCTACAGCCGCCACAGCTCGTACGAGCGGGGCGGCGACGTGTCCCCCAGCCCCTACAGCAGCAGCAGCTGGCGCCGCTCCCGGAGCCCCTACAGCCCGGTGATCAGGTGAGTCGGCCCCCGGCTGGGCCCGCCTGCGGCCGCGCCGGCCCGAGCGCCCCTCCCCCCCCACCCCCGGCGGCGGCGGGGGCAGGGGGAGCGGTGACCCGGCCCTGCGGGGCCGCCCGAGCCCGCAGCCGGCGCGAGGAGACCCGGCCGGACACCCGGCCTCGCGCGCGCGTGACACCGTGCCGTGGGGCGGGGGGCAGAGCAACAGGTCCGGCAGACTTGTTCTCGCACGACGACCGCCGAGAGAGAGAGCTCGGGGGGTGGGGGGGTGGGGGTGTTAGACTTGCTGGTGAACACACTAGCAGGTGTGTCTCTTCAGCCGCCCTCTGCTCTCCCAGCAGTTTCTTCAGGTAGACCGAGAGGTGGTTGAATTTGCCAGAATCTTGAAAGCTTTCTCAAGAGGTTGCATCTTTGGAGGGTTAGGAGCGAACTTCCTAGCTAGGACCTACGTCCTGTAAAGGACACTCGGAGTCGCTCGCTGATGTCAGAGTCAGAAGTGGATTGCACATGCTGCCGGTGATCAACAATACAGCGACGGAAAAGGCAGCTTTTCCGTAAAGTTTACTCTTCCACGAGGATGTGGAACTTAGGTGGGAACTTAAAGGATTCTAAATTCTCGAGATAAGGAGGATGCCCATTTTGTGGTATTCTTGGGTGGGATGGTCGTTTAAGTGGTAAAGAGAAAAAAAAAATGACGAGATTGTGGTTTCTATGTATGATGACACCCAGTTGCTAATAACGTGTAACAGATTGGTGCAGCCAAGTGAAGGGTCTAGCACATCCTTACAGTGTTACGCTGTTTACTATCGTATTAAATTACTATTTACTTTTACTTAAAAGCTAGCTGTACCTTTAAATATCACGATCTTTGTTCAGAAATCTTTAAAAGCTGTAATTTAATCCAGTGAAATTGGAGTAAATCTTTGACGTGGTTGTCACACCTTGTTTGTTATATATTTCTATTCTCTAGGAAAAGTGTGAGCATTGATACGCGGGTACCTGTTAAGCAAAGTGAATTAAGAATAACTTTCGGATATTTTGCAGGTTCTTCTATCCCTTCAGCTGTCTGGAAACTCCTGGCCTTCTAGTTTTAGGGTACTACAAAATGTCATTTTCGTTGGTTGTGTTTTTCTTACTGGCCTTAGTTTTCAGCAATGCCAAGCGGATGCGAATACCTCTCAGTAGAAGTTATGTTGAATCTCGATACGTATACCTGTAAAATTAGCACATTTCTTTGAAGTGTCAGCCTAGTAAATATTTGTCAAGATGTGATTCTGGTGGAGATCTGGGTGTGTTTGTCCTTAAATGAAAACAGCTGTATAAATCTCTTCATCCTTAAGTGTTCAAGCACACTTAAAATTCTAGTTGATGTCTTAAAGATTGTCAACTGAAAACTCATTTCACCAAACTTAGCCTTCGTGTCTTGTAAGACCTTGCATTTTACTTTTAGTTAAAAAACGTTTTAGGTGTGCCAGAAGTTTTGCATTTTTGTTGTTTTGGGGTTGTTTTTGTTTTTATGTTTTCTGCGATTGACACTGTTTTTTGAAAATGAAAATGATTAGGTTACATTTCAGGACTTGAGATAACAATTTTAAGGGTATGATGCAATTTTAAGAATAGAGTTTGTGTTTATCTGGGTTTTTGGTTTATGGATACTTTACAAGGTCCTGGCCTTAATAGTGCTGTGTATTTTAAATATATCGTGTAGTAGTGGTATGCATGATTAGTGTTATTCGTATTTTGAAAATATTTATTCAGCAGATCAGTGCCAGTTACTGTTCTAGGGACTGGAATAGATTGGTGAAGGAAGATGGGGACCTTGCCCTCATGAAGCTTGCGTTCTAGAGGATCATTCATTGCTGAATCTTTTCATGGCATTTACAGTGACCACCAGCATTTTTAAAGTATTGGGTTTGGAAGAGGCTTTAGATATCTTGGCCAGCATTCCTGACAGCTGTCCGTTTGGTCTGTGCCAGAATATATCTAGACATGGGAAGACATTACCGTGAGACAGCCTGTTCCGTTAAATTTGGAACTTGAGTTCTAGACCAGCTTTGCCTGGTATCTCCCAAGAGATACCCCCCCCCCCCCCCCCCCGAGCTCTCTCCCAAGACCCTCCCTTGGAGACTCAGTTTCCTAAACCGTAACAGGGATATACTTATTTTTTTGCATTATTTCAAGAATTAAGCGAAAATTTATGTTTTGTAAAGTATAGAAATACTATAGATTATTATGGAAATGTAATGTGGCTGAATTATTATTGAATAGTTTGAATTATTAGAACTCTTCACACTGAAACAGAAATCTACCTTCGTGTAACTTTCTACCCATTGCTTCAAGTTTAACCCTTTGGAATGATACAGAGCAAACTGGTATGCTACCTCTTTAAAATGTAAAGACACTTGCCACGTTTTCTGAGTCTTTTCTTCTCTGGGCCAAAAAAAAAAAAAAAAAAAAAAAACCAAAAACAACTTCATTTGTCATGAGGTGTGGCTTTGCGATTTTCACATTATATCTGGTTTGTTAACTGGCCTGTTTAAAATACGGGGTCCAGAATTTACAGCTGAAATGGTTGGAAACTTTTAAGATTTTTGAATATATAACAAATGTGTTATTACTGTTTAGGAATAATTAATTGAACTCACTTGTCCAGTTTAACACAAAGTTTTATTTACTTTTTGAATTTAGTAATGTCTTAAGTGGCTTATGTTACTTAATGAATAGACCCCTAGATTGTGAGCTCTGTGAAGGCAGCTATCCTGTTTTACCTACCGTTGTATTCTTAGTGTTCAGCGTAGTGTCTGGCACAAGTCGTCGCTTGGTAATTGTTGAATGGGTAAACGCAGGGATGATGATGATGGAGTTTACTGAGTATATGAAATATTGTGGATTACATAAGTATTTAATAGAGACCATGTGTTAGGCTATAAGAAATAGTAGTAAGATCTTTTATCAGGCCAGATGGACCTTATGTATTAATGAATTGTCAGTGTAGATATTTTAAGGGAATACATGCACATTGAAAGTAGTATTCAAGCCATGGTATGAAGATTTTTCTTGGTGTTAGTTCCTAGAATAAATCCTCTCCATTCTGTTGGCTTTTAATTCACAGTCTCCTCTAGGCCTTCATCTGAATCTTCAGTCCTCTGTTGATGCTTTTCTTTTCATCAGTCCTTCCTTAGCTGTACATTTCTTCTTGTATAACCAGCTTACCTTTTTTTTTTTTTTTTTTTTACTATTTGTCTACTCAGGTGTGGGAAGTCACAGAATTTTGCTTACTGACCCTGTAATGTGAGAGTATACTGAAGAGAGAGTTGTTTCTCAAGGGAGGCAATGGTACTGACATTTGGGTTTTACTCTGCGCCATGCGTTGGTAAATACTTAGCATACATTCACCCCCTACGTTTCTGTTGGGAAAAGATTGGGAAACAAGCTCTAAAAAGTTAAGTGATTTGTTCCAAGGTCAGCTTGGATTCAAACCTTGGGCTGACTGAAGTAACATGCTGTTCGTATTAGGTATTGATACTGTCCTGGCTGGCATTCAAGGGAGCTAACACCCTCAGTGGAGTGATCTGTTTTGCTAAAATTCATCTCCTATTTGGGTATTTATATATTGATTTCTTTTTTCTGGCTGTCTTTTTTTTTTTTTTTTTTTTAAAGATTTTATTTATTCATGAGAGAGAGAGGAGGGCAGAGACATCAGCAGAGGGAGAAGTAGGTAGGCTCCCTGTAGGGAGCCTGATGTGGGACTTGATCTCAGGATCCCAGGATTGTGACCTGAGGACACTCAACCAACTGATCCACCTAGGTTCCCCTTTCCTGGCCGTCTTTGCAGCATTTTGAGGGTTGTAAAAAACTAGTCCTTCTAAAGATTCTTTTGGCTCATTTGGTCTTTATTAACTTGTAGCTTTTATGAATATGAGCCTAAAAACATTCCTTGAAGACTTTATTTACGCTTAGTTATTGACAGTTTTTTTGCAGTGCAGTATCTTCATCTGAAGTCACTCAAGTCAGATCCGTTACAACCAGTACAGTAAATTATTACATATCCCATTAATTGGTTTTGTCTCTGAACTTGTGGAAATTCTGTTCCACTGACAAGCAGCAGAAGCCTATATTATGGAATCGTATGGAGATCCTGGGGGATCTAAAGACGGTTGGACCAGTAGGTGTAAATAAGTGAAGTTATTAGTATTCACTTGTATATGATATAGGTTACTTCTGTCATGATTTATTTAGTGTATTGTCCTAGAACCTGTGTTCAGAAATGTATAAAATGAAGACATTTCAGAATAATAAAGCTCCTATTAATTCATAAAACGCTACTGATTTGATTTGTACTTAAGAGAAATAAATCTTGAGTATCCATAGGTGAGTGTAATGCTTAAAATGCTTTTAGAAAGTATCAGGTACAAAAAAAAAAAGTGTCAGATATATAGGATACTAGAATAAATGCAGAAAACACTCAAAAGGAATGTAGATTTAGATGAAGTCTTTTTTTTTTAATATTTTATTTATTTATTTATTCATGAGAGACAGGCAGAGGGAGAAGCAGGCTCCCTTCAGGGAGCCTGATAATGAGATTCGATCCCAGGACCCTGGGATTGTGACCTGAGCTGAGGGCAGATGCTCAACTATTGAGCCACCCAGGTGCTCCACGTGAAGTCATAAGTCTCACTGGTATTTATCCCATTTGCGTTTTCAGCACTTCAGGTCTTTGTTTTTAATCAGACTTCTTGTTGCCATTCTCTTCTTCCCTTGTTCTTCCATTCCTTTCTTCCCAACTTATTTTTTATCAGGAGAGTTTTCTTAAAGTGTTGGTCAGATTTTGACACTTCCGTTATATAGAATGGAAGTCCAGACTTTTCAGTGCATTGTCAGGTAATGCCTTTTATGATCTGGCCCCATTCTATCAATTCTGTTTTCAGAGGCACTTTTATTTCTCTATATTTTTACTCTTCCTGTTCTTTTACTTTGAAATGCCCTTTTATTTTCCTCTT